TTAGCTTATATATTGCGTACAAAAGTCGTGGGCCAAAGCTCTCCTATTCCTAGTCCAATTCGGATTCAAGGATTGATGCTAAGGTGGATGCGACGCATCCACCTCGTCCTCCATTTCAATTTTGCCTGCGAAGGTGGATGCGACGCATCCACCTTGTCCTCTATTTCTCAGCTTGCCTGCGATGGTGGACGCGACACATCCAGCTTCACTTCTACTTCCCAGTTTCGCACGCGATGGCGGACGCGATGGCCCAACTTCACTGCTAAGGTTGCATGCAGGATGATGTTTTCCTAGGTTGGATGCGACGCATCCAACCCTTCTTCCTCTAGCTAAACCACCTTTTCTTCATATTTTGCACTCCGAACACCTTAAATCGTCACACATAACTTAATTAGTCATCAAACCAATAATTACACCATGTTGGGTATTTTAAAGATTAAATAACATCAAAAAGTGGTTAAAACATGGGCAAAGTAACATCAACACATATCGAAATATGCCAAACATCACATGGCTCCAAACAGTAGTGGGCAATTTTATTTTCATAAATAGTGGTCTTGCTATCAATTGCAGGCGTTTAATAAGTGACTCTGCAAGGCCATTTTGAGTATGAACATAAGCTATAGGATGTTCAACTTTTATCCCAACTGATAGACAATAATTATCAAAAGCTTGAGATGAGAATTCTCCGGCATTATCAAGGCGAATAACCTTTATAGGATAATCTCGGAATTGTGCCCTTAATTGAATTATTTGGGCTAATAGCTTTGCAAACGCCAGGTTGCGAGATGATAAAAGGCACACATGAGACCATCTTGAAGATGCATCTATTAGGACCCTAAAATATCTAAACAACTCACTTGATGGGTGAATAGGTCCACATATATCCCCACGTATACGTTCTAAAAAGGCAGGGGATTCAATGCCAACCTTTATTAGTGATGGTCTAGTGATCATTTTGCCTTGATAACAAGCATCACAAGAAAATTCATTATTTGTAATAATCTTCACGTTCTTTAATTGGTGCCCACTCGAATTTTCAGTAATTTATCTCATCATTATTGATCCAGGATGGCCCAAACGGCCATGCCAAAGCACACAAATATTTGAATCAGTGAACTTCTGGTTTACGATAGAGTGTGCTTCAACTGTATTAATCTTTGAATAGTATAAAGCGGAAGATAAAGTTGGTAACTTTTTTACAATGCACTTCTGGCCAGAAACATTCTTTGTAATACAAATATATTCCATATTTATTTCATATGAGACCCATTTCGGCGGATATCTATAAACCTCAACAAGTTTCTTTGGGACTTGGAGGAGAATAATACATTGTCTATAATAAGTTTTGTTCCCTTAGACAGAAATATAGTGGCTCTTACGGAACCTTCAATCAAACTTATATTACCAAAAATTGTTGAAACATTTGCTTTTTCCTTATGCAAATAAGAAAAGTATTTCTGATCTTTGAATATGGCATGAGTTGCTCCACTTTAATTACACAAATATCTACATGATTGGTTTTTGATCCAAACATAATTTGAGAATTATTCATATTCTTCAAAATGACATAAACAAAATAAATATGATAGTAAACATCACTATCAAAACATAACTTTTATTTATGTACAACAATTACATAACCATACTATCTACTACAAACAACAAAAATTAAAATATTTACATCTCTACAAATTCATCACCGATCACATGACTTGTTTCTCATTCCAGGAGTGCAAAGTAATCAGCTACATCAAAATGCATGAAGTCTAAATTATCTTCAGAAATAAAATTTGCTTTAGCATTTTTCTCTGTCTTCTTCAGGGAGGCTTGATACAACTCAACCAGGTGCTTTGGCATACGACATGTACGTGACCAATGCCTTTTTCCTCCACATCTATATTATGTATTTTTTGGCTTTGCTGCTTGCACCGCTTCATGCTTTTGTTTCTTCATTTTCCATTACTGGTGGTGAGGAGGGTTCGTTGGTGCATTATTATTACCATGATTAGAGTTTCTTTTCCGACCACGACCATGACCACGACTGGGGCCACGTACTCTTCTACGCTTAGCTTGGTGGAAGTTCGTCTCATTCACTTTAGGGAATGGACAAGAACTAGTAGGCCGGCTTTCGTGATTTTTTATTAATAGCCCATTATGTTGCTTGGCTACAAGAAGACGTGAGATAAGTTCAGAATATTTTTTGAATCCCATATCTCGATATTGCTGCTGCACGAGCATATTCGAGGCATGAAAAATGGTGAAAGTTTTCTTCAACATATCATGATGAGTAATATTATCACAACATAGTTTCAATTGGGAAATAATTACGAACATAGCAGAATTATACTCACTGATAGATTTAAAATCTTGTAGCCTTAGATGAGTCCAATCATAACGTGCCTGTGGAAGAACGACCATCTTAAGGTGGTCATATCTATCTTTCAAATTATTACACAGTACGACTGGATCTTTAATAGTGAGATATTCCATTTTCAAGCTTTCATCAAGGTGATGGCGTATGAATATCATTGCTTTGGCACGGTCTTGGGTTGATGTTTGATTTTTGTCCATGATGGTGTCTGCCATACCCATCGCATCAAGATGAATTTCAGCATCAAGCACCCAAGACATGTAGCTTTTGCCCGATATATCCAGGGCTACAAATTCAAGTTTAGAAAGATTTGACATTATTTAGGAAAAGAAAGTTCTTACCTCAGATACTTTCAAAATATTTGCTCGAGATGGTAGAGCTTCGTGCTGATAACGTGTTATGAAATAAAGACTATAAAGTAAAGACAAGTATAGAGAGAAACTGATATATTATTCAAACTTCAGACTTATGTATATAATGAACTGAAATCTCCTCTATTTATAGAAGAAAGCAAGCTGATGTGTAAGCTGCTTTTGCAAGCTGCCGTGTAAGCTGCTACTGTACCAGATATAGATAATCTTCTATTGGTGGTAATATTTATCCATAACGGAGTACCAAAAGGATAAACTAATTGTACCAGATATAGATAATCTTCTATTGGTGGTAATATTTATCCATAACGGAGTACCAAAAGGATAAACTCATTGTACTAGATATAAATAATCTTCTACCGGTGGTAATATTTATTCATAACAGAGTACCAAAAGGATAAACTAATTGTACCAGATATAGATAATCTTCTATTGGTGGTAATATTTATCCATAACGGAGTACCAAAAGGATAAACTAATTGTACCAGATATAGATAATCTTCTATCGGCTGTGATGTTTATCCATAACGGGTACTAAAAGGATAAGCTCATTCTACAAGATATAGATAATCTTCTACCGGTATGATATTTATCCATAATAGGGTACTGAAATGATAAGCTCCTTCAAGGGATTTATTTCTAATAGAGTACTAAATAGATAAATATATTTACGGCGGAGTCTCATATAAAAGGTTTATTTTCAACGGAATAATAAATAAACATACATAATATAATATATTTATAACATGATGTACTTAATTCTCCTTAATTATGTTTTTATTACCTCTTCGTATATTCCTATATAAAAAAAAAACAAGAAGAAAGAAAGAAAAGATTGCGGCGCCATAAACACACTCCCTCTCAGTCCCACACCACCTTTTACACCTTCACTCTCCACTCAAAACCCTAACATCGATTCATATGCTATTTTCTATTAATTCTTCGTAATTTTTGTCGAATATCTTTCCCAACAGTTTGTATTAATGGAGCAAAAACAGAAAGAGCAGAAATTTTTAGTTTCATCTGTATCAGAGGTTTTACGTTCTTCGTATTCTATAGTTTTGGAAACCGAACCGGTTTTTTCTCGGTTCACTTTACAGTCCGGTTCACCTGAGCTTCGATTTGGTCAAGGCTCAACTGACGCCATTGTGCTTAATCTTCAATCTTCCCAGGCAAGTTTTTATATATTTTGTATATATAATTCATTTTTGTTCATGTATGAATATTGAGGATTTAGATAAAAACTATTTTTTATTAGAAACTACGCAAACACTACAAATCACAAAATTTCTTAATTTCTTATCGATAAATTTACCGTATGTTTTAGAAACTTCATAGAATCTTATAAAGAACAAAACATTTTAATTTTAAAAAGGCCATTTGAACCAACAAATCATGTTACTCCGTCAGTCACAATTTACCGTGATGCAATTTGACGACTGGGCATGTAGTTAAGAAAGGAAGAGACATTTTTAGAACTTGTGCTCTAAAACAAGTAAGTCAGTGATATTTGTGTTGTTATAAATCATCTTATTAAGGGTAATAGAAAGTTTAAAATTAAATTTAAATATAAAAAGTAAAGAGTATCACGTAAATTGGGATGAAGGGAGTAATTTTTTAAAACTAGTAAAAATACTATAAACTCATAAATTTCTTTTAGATAAATCTACTATATATTCGGAAACTACGTTAATATACTATAAAGAACAAAACTTTAAAAGTTGAAAAAGCCATTTGAATAACCAAACCATGTTAATATTATATTTGGGATGGATGGGAAGTATGAAGTAATAATAATGATGGTGATCTTTTGGCTCACATTTTCTGCATTTTCTTATACATGAATAACCTTATTGAATTAGTTAAAGTTGTGGTGGGGCTTTCACATTTAGTACATTTTCTCACGTTTTCTAGTCAGTAATCAACAGTCAAACAGAATGACCAGTGTTTTTTAGCAGAGAAGTGCAGAAAATGGAGAATAAAACTGAAAACGTGATAATTTTAACTGATGCTTGTTCGTTAGGATTTGTCTTTAGCTATGTGTTTGAGGGGCATTATCTTAGCCTTGGTTCTTCTTTCATTTTTCCAGTTATTCAAGCTAGGCCCTGCTGAATCTCTATGCATATCTGAAGCTTCTGAAGCCAATAAAGAGGTATGATATATAGAGCATAAGGTCGTATTAAATTGTGATACTGGACCGGTTAGTTGTTTTTTACCTGCAAATCAATTTAGAATCCTGTTCAGTCCGGTAAGGATTTCTAGAAATGTTGTGATGTTGCGATACCTTTTGTCAATGATGATTTTTCTAGTGAATGTTATACCATCAATGGAATCAACAGACTATTAGGAATGCTTCCACTTCATTTGATTTTGATTAGCAAGAACAAAATCTGGTTATTACCTATCATAATTGCAGAAGCATTAAAAGATTATCTATTAGAATATGCTGCCTGTACGAGTCTCATGCTCACATATTTGTTTGTAGATGACCAAGCACTACTCTGCAATCTGCATAATGCCGAAAACATGCAATACTGCAAACTTGTGTTCGACATATTATTAATTTAACATGTTGCATTAGGATTACACAGTTATGTATGTGTAAAATATGTGTGTTTGTCAATTGGTATACATCACTTATCTTGTCCTGGAAAATAAGTCAAATGTACTTACTTTAAATTTAAATTGGAATATGTTTGTGAAATATGATGTTGTCATATTAATGTTATGCATTAACTTTGGTCTTTTGAACCAGAAAACATATTCAAGGGGAATCTCCATTCAATTTAGAAACGAGGAGGAAAGTAGGGCCTTCCATTGTGCATTTGAGCAATGGAAGAAGGAAGTGGTTGTTCAAGGTCTGTTTTGATGTATGTCTGCAATTGCTCTGTAACAAGTTTCCATGCTACCTTGTGGAGTAGCCACATTCTCCTTTCCAACAACTGCTGCAGCTTTTCATGTTTGTTCAAGATTTATTTGATTCTTTGCAGTTGTCTAGATATTGTTGTTACTGAGATGCTAGTCTCATGATTCTGTGTGGTGAAATAACACTTGTTTTTTATAGCATTCTCTATGTGACATTTACTTAGATACCAATTTGTGAATGTTTGAAGTGTTGTGGAAAGAAT